AATATTTAGAGAAGAATTCTAAAAACCGGCACAGATAAACGAGGCAGCATGGTATATTTTAAGCCTTTACTTACTGAGAAAGATGCATAGGAGAGTGAGAGCTTTATCTAAGAGAGAAAGAGAGAGAGGTAAATCTGGGTTCATACCGAGCACCAGGGATCAGCCACGTGGAGGAGCATCTAGGCCAGGAAGCCTAGGGCAGGTGGCCCCAAGGCAGGGCTACAGCAAGCCCCCTCCTGGCAAGAGGCCAGCGAAGAAAAAGACAAGATGTGTCCCAGGCCTTTAACACACTTCCAAAGGGGAGTGGTTAATGAACCTGATTGGCTGGTGGGCGCCCAGGTGTGGCCAGGTAAGGAGATGCGGTCACACAGGGACGTGGCAAAGGTGTGGTCTTCCAGTTCACAAACCTAATCGATTTTAACCTGTATGCCTGCCTACTTCAGGTACCTCTCTCTAGATCTGGAATATGCTCTTCCTTGCCTACCCTTAGACACCAGAACTCCAGGCTATCTGGCCACCAGACTCTGGACTTACAACAGTTCCTGCTACATCCTTTCACCCCATCTCTGAATTCTCAGGCCTTCAAACTTGAAATGAGATGCAGCACTGCCAACCCAGGGTTTTATGTAGATAGCCTATTGCAGGTCCTGTGAGTCTCCACCATGTGAGACCATGTGAGCAATTTCCCCTATATAAAGCTGCCCATTATCTATCTACCCATCTATCTATCTATCTATCTACCCATCTATCTCTCATCTCTCTATCATCTATCATTTATCTATCATCATCTTTTCTATTGGTTCCCTCTGGGGAACCCTAATGCAGATATCCTGTGTTATCTAAATGCTGTCTGATGTAAAGAGTCTTACTGTTTTTGTTTACCGCTGTGTTCTTAGCACATGGAATATTTCTTTCTCTTAGTAAGCATTCAATAAGTATTATTGGAATGGACAATGGGTGAATTAATATCATACCGGTTAATTTAATTTTAAAATATAAAGACGGATATCATATATTTTCTCTGATATGTTGTAGTTAATATAGAATAGAAAGAAAAAAATAATGTATGGGAGTGAAACTGACATTTTGTGATTTGATTGTTTATGGCCCTTGTCCGTATTCCTGTAGACCAGTGGTCATTCTACCGTTTATTTATTGAACACTATGGCAAGTGGCACATTGAGCCTATGACTATGGAGTGAATTGAAGGTGTTTTATTGTGGAAATTTGGAGATAAGAAAGGAAAGAAAGTCTGTTCTCTATATATTACCAAAAATAGCAAAATAAAAAGTTGCCATCCTGATTTTCATTAATTTTCATTTTTAAATATTGCACTAAACATTATTTTATTGAGGATGCTTTTGCCTTTGGTGTCTACTTAAACAGTGCACGAAGCTAAGTACCTCACTTGTGCTTCCCTAGCTCTGGTCCTGCGTATACAAAAAAGCAGCATCTGTCGTTGAAATGCTGGATTCCTTTCCTTTTTTAAAGTATTAATTTGCAGTGATAATTCAACGTAAAAATATTTGTTGGAATAGTTTCTCAAGGTGTTCAGCTTGAACATGACACCGTATAGCCAAATAATATACCCCCTTGATTGTTAGAATAGAATGAACTGGGGAAAAAATGAAGTTGGGAATGATAAATCACGCGCTTTGGCTTTGCAAGGAAGAAATGATACTGTTTCACTTGAATAGAGGACAGTGTTAGATTCAAAAGCACCTCTGCCCAGGAAGCCAGTACCCCAGTTCACACGGCAAGCTGACCCCTTGGTCAGACACTGCGTTGCACATGCATGCTTTCAAGATTTCATAGATAATCAGTACATGTAATGGGAAAACAGAGCAACAAACATTTGTTTCTATTATTGTTTTCAGGAAAAAGAAAACTCACAATGAGGGCTGCTTAAATTTATTTCAACAACTTTGAAGGTATGTTTGGGATTTACTGACTCTCTTGAATTTCTTGAATTATTGTATTTTCTCCAGCTTTCCTCACTCCTCTTATCCACAAAACAGTGATATGATGACACACAATATAAAAATTAACAAAATCTCAAACCATTCAATAACACCATTATGACTTTCTATCCCCAAATCTCTTCCCCACACCTAAAAGGCCGATTTTTTCATCAAATTTTCCACCATCATAGGCACCTGATATTCTTTATAGATTATGGATGTGCAGAAGGACCAGATGGCAAATCATAATTCCAGGGCTAAGCTTACTACTGTTGGTAAAGCTTCATGATCTTTTGATAGTAAATTTAATAGTTGCACAGAATCCTAAGCTTTAGGAATCTTAGATGAGAACTTTTTAGAAAGTTAGATTTCCTATGTAATCCCACTTTACTGATCTAAATATATGTCAAAGGTGTAAACAGCTGTGCATCCTCATCTAGAGCTACCATGGAAGTTCTCATGGAGAATTGTTTCATAATGTAAAATCAAGAAAATTGTTCCTAGACTGTCAGCTATACATTATTCACCATCAATTAACGCACTCCACATTACACTTTCTGATGCATCCATTCATACATAATGAAGGATATTACCTATGATTACATTCATGAAATTAAAGTCTAAATATGTTAAAAATTCCACATGCTGAAATTAAATGATCATGTGAATTCAGAAGCAGCCTGGGAATATATGTTAAGTCCTATTTGGATGTTACAACTGAGGTCTCATAAATGAATGACGCTGACCTCATTCATTTTGCCCCCAAAGACCTGGGGATGTTTTCAGTAAGTTAGGGACTTCTTTAGAATCACACACACACACATACATACACACACACACACACCTCTTCATATCTGTAACCTCCTTTATGTAAAATCAGTTTTTATTATTCATTATTGTTATGACCTATAAAGTCACTAATAAAGTAAATTAGCAAATAGCAAGTCTTTGCTCCAAATATTTTCATCAAATAATCAATATATAACTTTTTTATGTAGGTTTCTGTTTAAGGATATTTATATATGTTGTTGATTTGTTACCATTGAGCTTGTGAGCAATAGCACTATGGCTCATGCCCAATGAAGCTTCCTAAATACCTAAAACCAAATGTAATACTTAAAACCAAATTTCTCCATTTGGTTTATCTCAGTTCCCTTGCACTGAGGATGAGTAGACAGCGTTTTAGTCCTATGCTTTAGGGTTCTTTTAAACATGAAAATCACCAATAAAAGATGCAGTAATGCAAAAAACATAGGCAATAAATGAGAAAACCATAGCACAATGGCAGAGTATTCCTAGTTGGAGAGCTGAAATAAGGAGGCAGAGCATCATCCTGTCTGACCTCAGCTGGGAATATGTGGGTCATGTGACTCGAGTTTGCACTGCTCTGTGCACGTCCAAGAACAGCAACAGGACTATTGATTTTAGGATTTTGTCAAGTAAGCACATTTGTAAATACAGAATCTGCAATAAGAAGGATCAGTGGCATATAACCATATATGTGTTCTGCTTTTTCTTGCCGCATTTTCATACTCAACTTTCAGATAATCACTGATGGTTCTTGAATAACAACTTTCACCCCACCCCGATTTGATGAAAAGGTGCCACATGTCTATACCCAGCAGAAGAAAATTTTCCCACCAGGAAAAGCAACCCTACTTGCCCACGCAAGAATATACTGTTACACACATGTCTGCAGACATAGGAGTTGTGTAAACAAAGCTGAAAGGAGGTTTAAAATTACCTATACTTTTAAAAAAATTCAGTCAAGTTATGTAAGTTTCATGTATTTCACATATACAGATTTAGGAACATAGTGGCACTTCCCCCTACCTTCCCTCCTGCCACGTTCCAAGCCTTTACCTCCTCCCTCTCATTTTCAGTATACTTGATGATCATATAACTAATGCTACACTAACAAAGTGTTCAACAAATAGTATAAAGAGAGAAAAATAAAAAAATAAAACACTGTTCCTCAATGGAATGGTCAAGGACTATAAACAATCATCGAATCTCAAAATGTCTGCTTCACTCTAATACATTGCATTTCAGGTACTCTATTAGTTACACTGGATCAGGGAAAACATATGGTACCTGTCTTTTTGGGACTTGCTTATTTCACTAAGTATAATGGTTTCCAGTTGCGTCCATCTGGTTGCAAAAGAGAGGTTTTAATTTTTTTTTTACAGCTGAGTAGTACTCCATAGTGTATATATACCATAATTTCTTTTTTTAAAAGAAAACAATAGGTTTATTTTAATGCAAACATTTTTGAAATCTATGTACAGCTTTTTTGTAACATACATTTTCATAAACTTCTGAAAGCTCTTCTTTTTTTTCCAACTTTTATTTAAAATATAAATTTCCGAAGTACAACTTTTGAATAACATTGGCTTTCCCCCCATAACCTCCCTGCCATCCACAACCATCCCATCTCCCATTCCCTCTCCCATCCCACTCTTCATCAAGATTAATTTTCAATTTTTTATTTTATTTATTTATTTTATAGTTAGTGTGAGAGAGAGAGACAGAGACAGAGACAGGGAGAAAGGTCTTCCTTCCGTTGGTTCACCCCCAAAATGGGTGCTACAGCTGGAGCTATGCTGATACAAAGCCAGGAGCCAGGTACTTCCTCCTGGTCTCCCATGCAGGTGCAGGGGCCCACGCATTTGGGCCATCCTTCACTGCCCTCCCAGGCCACAGCAGAGAGCTGGACTGGAAGAGGAGCCACCAGGACTAGAACCCGGCGTCCATATGGGATGCCGGCACCACAGGCAGAGGATTAACCAAGTGAGCCACAGTGCTCAGTATATACTAAGTAAAGATTTCAACAGACTGCACCCACACAGACACATAAAGTATAGAGTACTATTGGAGTAGTAGTTTTACTGTTAATTCGCATAGTACAACACATTAAGGACAGAGGTCCTGCATGGGGAGCAGGTGCACAGTGACTCCCATTGTTGATTTAACAATTGACACTCTTATTTATGATGTCAGCTCTTGTCATGAGCTGCCAAGGCTATGGAAGCCTCTTGAGTTCACCAACTCTGATCTTATTTAGATAAGGCCATATTCAAAGTGGAAGTTCTCTCCTCCCTTCTGAGAAAGGTAAATCCTTCTTTAATGGCCCATTTTTTCCACTGGTTTCTCACTCACAGAGATCTTTCATTTAGGTCATTTTTTTTCTTTTGCCACAATGTTTTTCCTTTCCATGCCGGATATACTCTCATGGGTTTTTTAGCTGGATCCGAATGCCTTAAGAGCTGATTCTGAGGCCAGAGTGCTATTTAGGGCATTTGCCATTCCATGAGTCTGCTGTGTATCCTGCTTCCCATATAGGATCATTCTCTCCTTTTTAATTCTATCAATTATTATTTGCAGACATTGGTCTTATTTATGTAATCCCTTTGAATTTACTCCTATCTTTTTGATTAATTATGAACTTAAACTGATCTCTTTAACAAGTAAGATGGCATTGGTACACCTTGATCTGATTGGATTGGAATCCCCTGGCACGTTTCTAGCTCTACCATTAGGGGTAAGCCCGAGTGAGCAAATGCTGAACTGTCCATCTCCTCCCTCTCTTATTCCCACTCTTATATTTAACAGGGATCACTTTTTAGTTAATTTTAAATGGCTAAGAATAATTTTGTGTTAATTAAAGAATTCAACCAATGGTATTAAGTAGAACAAAAAAAATACTAAAAGGAATAAAATGCTAAGTTGTTCCTCAAGAGTCAGGACAAGCGCTGATCAAGACAGTGTTTCTCATAGTGTCAATTTCACTTCAACAAATTTCCCCTTTGGTGCTCAGTTAGTTGTCACCGATCAGGGAGAACATATGATATTTGTCCCTTTGGGACTGAGTTATTTCACTCAGCATGATGTTTTCCAGATTCCTCCATTTTGTTGCAAATGACCAGATTTCATTATTTTTTACTGCTGTATAGTATTCTATAGAGTACATACCCCATAATTTCTTTATCCAGTCTTCTGTTGATGGGCATTTGGGTTGATTCCATTTCTTAGCTATTGTGAATTGGAAGCTAACCCTTTCTAAGTTGCATAGTTTGCAAATTATTTCTCCCATTCTGTGGGTTGCCTCTTCACTATGCTGAGTGTTTCTTTTCCAAGGCAGAAACTTCACAGATTGATGTAATCCCATTTGTCAATTTTGACTTTGATTGCCTGTGCTTCTGGGGTCTTTTCCAAGAAGTCTTTGCCTATGCCTATTTGGAAACTTGCAGAGTTTCCACAATGTTCTCTAGTAATTTGATAGTATTTGGTCATAGATTTATGTCTTTGTGTCTTTGATCCAATTCAAGTGGATTTTTGTGTAAGATGTAAGGTATATGTGGAAGTTTCATACTTCCACACTTGGCGATCCAGTTCCCCAACACCATTTGTTAAAGAGACTGTCAATGTTCCAGGAATTGATTTTAGCTCCTTTGTCAAATATAAGTTGGTTGTATATGCATGGATTGATTTCTGGAGTTTTTATTCTATGTCACTGATCTACAAATCTGTGTTTCTGATAGCACTAGGCTGTTTTGATTATAACTGCCCTGTAGTATGTCTCAAAATCTGATATTGTGATGCCTCCAGCTTTGGTCTTTTGTTGTATAAGATTATATACTTTGTTGTATAAGATTGATTTAGCTATTCAGGGCCTCTTGTGTTTCCATATGAATTTTAGTATAATTTTTTCTAGATCTGGGAAGAATGTCATTGGTATTTTGATTGGAATCACATTGAATCTGTAAATTGCTTTTGGTAGTATGGACATTTTCATGATGTTGATTCTTCCAATCCATGACCATGGAAGAATTTTCCATTTTTTAATGTCTTCTTCTATTTCTTTCTCAAATGTCTTGAAATTTTCATCATACAGATCGTTGATGTCTTTGCTTAAATTTGTTTCAAGATATTTGATTCTTTTTGGATATTGTGAATGGGATTGATTTTAAAGGTTCTTTCTCAGCCATGACATTGTTTGTATATACAAAGGCTATTGATTTTTCCATTGATTTTATATCCTGCTGTTTCACCAAACTCTTTTATGAGTTCCAATAGTCTCTCAGTTCCCTATATATTGGATGCTGTCTTCTGCAAATAGGGATAATTCGATTTTCTCCTTCCCAATTTGTATTCCTTTGATTTCTTTTTCACGACTAATGACTCTGGTTAATACTGCCAGGACTATACTAAATAACAATGGTGGGAGTGAACATCCTTGTCATGTTTCAGATGTTAAGGGAAATGCTTCCTGCTTTTCCCCATTCAATAGGATGCTGGCTGTCAGTATAGTGTCAATTAGCTCTGTTGTTTCTTTCTTTTTTTTTTTTTAAGATTTATTTATTTATTTGAAAGAGTTACGCAGAGAGAGAGAGAAAGAGAGAGAGAGAGGTCTTCCATCCGCTGGTTCACTCCCCAATTGGCCGCAAAGGCCGGAGCTGCGCCAATATGAAGCCAGGAGCCAGGAACCTCCTCCAGGTCTCCCACACGGGTGCAGGGGCCCAAGGACTTGGGCCACCTTCTACTGCTTTCATAGACCATAGGATGGAGCTGGATCAGAAGTGGAGCAGGCCGGCGCCACGGCTCAATAGGCTAATCCTCCACCTGCGGCGCCAGCACACTAGGTTCTAGTCCTGGTAGGAGTGCCTGATTCTGTCCCGGTTGTCCCTCTTACAGTCCAGCTCTCTGCTATGGCCCGGGAGTGCAGTGGAGGATGGCCCAAGTCCTTGGGCCCTGCACCCACATGGGAGACCAGGAGAAGCACCTGGCTCCTGGCTTCAGATAAGTGCAGTGCGCCGGCCACAGCGCGCCGGCCACAGCGGCCATTGGAGGGTGAACCAACGGAAAAAAGGAAGACCTTTCTCTCTGTCTCACTGTCCACTCTGGCTGGAAAAAAAAAAAAAAGAAGTGGAGCAGCCGGGTCTCGAACTGGCGCCCATATGGGATGCAGTGCTTCAGGTCAGGGCATTAACCTACTGCACAATAGCACCAGCCCCTGCTCTGTTGTTTATTGATTTCTTATCTAGTTGATGTGTCCATTGATGAAAGTGGGATATTAAAGTCCTCTGTTATTGTGTTGGAGTCTGTCTCCCTTTATTTCCACTGTCATTTCTTTTAAATAACAAGTACCTTATAATTAGTTGCATATGCACTTATTATAGTCACATCTTCCTATTAAACTGATCCCTTAATCATTATAGTGCCCTTCTTCATCTTTCTTAAGTTTTTATGTTAAAGTCTATTTTGTCTGATGTTGGAATGGTAGTACCTAGCATGGAATATGATTTTCCATCCTTTCACTTTCAGTCTGCATGTATCTTTGTTGGTGAGATGTGTTTCTTGTAGGCAGCAAATATGTGGGTCTTGCATTTTAATACATTCAGCCAGTCTGTATCTTTTAATGGTATCTTTTAACTGGAAAGTGGGGTCATTTACATAAAAGGTGACTATATTGATAAGTAACAATTTGGCCCTGCCATTTTTTTCATAAATATTCCTATTGTTTACTTTGAATTTCATTTATACTTACACTGGGTTTTTTTCTGCCTTCATGTTATTTTTTAATGATGACTATGTTCCTGTATTTATGTGTGTAGCACATCCTTAAGCATTTTTTTTTTGTAAGGCTGGACAAGTGGCTACAAATTCTTTCAAGTTTTGCTTGTAATGTTTAATTCCTTTAAATTTCAGTTTCTGTTTCTTTATTTCACCTTCATTCATAAATGAGAGCTTTGCAGGGTACAGTGTTCTGGGATGACAGTTTTTGTTTTTTTAAGTCTTGCACTTTATCTTGTCATTCCCTTCTAGCCTATAGGTTTTATGATAAGAATTCAGCTGTGAGTCTAATTGGAGACTCTCTGAAAGTAATCTGGCATTTATTTCATGTGCATTTTAGAATATTTTCATTATGTTTTCCTGTGAAAAGTTTGATTACAATGTGTCATGGTGAAGATCTTTTCTCGTCATATCTGTTAGGAGTTCTATGTGCTTCCTCTACTTGGACATCCCTTTTTTTCTCTAAATTGGGGAAGATTTCTGTAAATATTTCACTAAGTAGGCCTTCTAGTCCATTCTCTCTTTCTTCACTTTGAAGAACTCCCAAGAGCCATATGTTGGATCATTTGATAGTAACCCGTACATCTCCAAAACCTTTTTTAAGTTTTCTATTTTTTTCTTCTTTTTTTTTCCTTTTTCTTTTGGTTCTGATTATTAGATTTCTTGCCCCAAACCAAAATGGCTCCCACTCTTTCTCAACCAGGCAGCAGGCACTGTTGTAGGGAAGTTGGGGTGAGATAAACATGCCCCCTCTACTTCTACTGGGTCCATGGCAACTGCTAGCAACTGGTAGCCCCCAAGTCTGCAGTCCAGTTCATGCCATGCTCTCCCTCTGGCTATATCACCACGGGTTGCTGCTGTACAGTCTCCCCTCTGTCTCCAAGCTGTGCCTGTTTTGTCTCTCAGCTGCCGCAGTTGTGCTTGTATTGGTGTTTGTGCCGCCTGCCTGCACGCTCCACATAGGTCCACAGCATTCATCTTCCTCTTGTAGGATATCCAGTGCAGTTTTCTCTCCAATTCTCCCTTGAGAGTGCACTTCCTATGTTTTTTCACTTTTTTTTTTAATTCCTTATCCCTAACCTAGTGCACAGTGTAATTCCCTAATCCACCATCTTGGAATCTCCCTAATACTTATAAAATTAGAAAAGTGCACGTTAACATGGTCACTTCCAAGCAGAGTGACAACCAGAATATAGAACTCTCTCTCAGGAAGAATTCAAGTATCCCTTCCCTTCTGCTGCTGCTTCTTTTCTTCTTCTCCTTCTCTAACTTCTTCCTCTTCCTCTTTTTCCCGGTCTTCTTCTTCTTCCCCTCCTCCTCCTCTTCCTCTTTATTCTTTTGTTTACAAAACTAATCATGACCATTTAAGCCACTGGGACGTTCATGCCAGCAGCCTTCTGCTCAGCAGTACAGGGTCTTTCCCATGGTGCTACCTGTAGATGAATGGGTCATTTAAAAATATGTAATAGTAACAATGATGAGATGTAGACACTCTGTAGTTGGCTGGCTTAATTTTGTAACCTGTCAACCATTAGCAATTACATAGCTTGTTAATAAAAGTGGTGAAAAGCAAGTTTATTTTTAGTGACTACAATTTCAGGGCTTATATTTTGTGTATCTACCATGATGTTAAACTAAACATCACCTTTTTCACATGAAGGAATAATATGATCATATCACAGCACACAAGCTCAAGTTTTCATGATCTTACCCTTGGTTTTGATTGACCCTAGAAGCCACAAGCTTTGTGATCTTTATCAGAGTTACTGGGGTAATGTAATCTTTGAACACATTATATATAAGACTAATGGATCTTATGAAATGAGAACACTAATAAATTATGAATCACCGAATTAATCTAGGCAAATACTTCAGATTTCTCTTGGCCCTCATTTGAATGAAAAGTTAAACTATTTCTTTTTCCTCTCTTGCCTCATATAATGAAATCCACTCTTAATAAACACTTACTGAAATTGGAGGCACAGAGTTCACCATTCCAAGAGACTAGTAGGTTATAGCCCTCTGCAACTAATCACAGAGGCTCTCCATGCTGTATCCGTTGGTCACTCTAAGGGAGTGACCCTAGGAAAACCTGCCCGGACCTAGAGTTGTGCCTATATCTCACTAGGTCTTGATACCAGTACCCCAGATGAAACTGATGTGCAATGATTTCTTCTTACGACTTTTCTGCTTCCCTGAGGACAAAGTATTTGTGTCCCTTAAAATAGCCATGTCTCCAAATTGCATATCCAGAGGAAACACTGCATTTTCAATCTCCAAGTATGATAACTCAATAAACCTTCAGCTCTAAAATTCAGAGCATTTGTATAGTATCCTCTAAACTACCATGAAATTACACCCCTCCCTTTAAAATTTCTCTAGTTTGTTTATTTTTATAGCTTCTACCTCCAGAACAGACAGCACAAGTCATCAGCATCCAACCAAAGTTATAAAAAGTCTTTCTGTTTCTCTCTCTGTGTAGAAGTCATCATTTTGCTCTCACCCATATGGGAGGTTAAATTTCACTTTTTCTCAGTACTGAAAATCAGTGCCAGCTTCCACCTCTTACAATCAATCTAAGACCCCTGGTCAGTCCAAACAGCTTAGGTAAAATGGTTGGCATTTGATATTTTAGCTACAATAGTGTAGCTCTATCAACTTGAATGTGGGAGAGAAAAATTGCATTTCCAATTTATCCCATTACAATCTTGCCTTTACATAGTCAAAAAAAAAAAAAAAAAAAGCAGCAACCATTGCTCTATTTCTCGTGATTTTACTTTCAACTCTGCTTTTTTTCCCCCCACTAACAAATGACCTTCATCAAAGATACCAGGTAAAATTTAGCAACTAAATCCTTAATCTTTAAAACAGATATGGTAGACTTAATTTGTGTCCTACTTTAGAAGGAAAAAGTTAAGCAAGCAAAGCAAATTATTTCATCTACAATTGCTAATGTTTTCATGAAACTTTTTGAAATTAATATTCATATGGAAACAAAATTCTAAAATTCTTCATACCAAAGAACACTAGATCCTTTTATAACCATTATTTTAAATTACTGAAACATCTCAAAATTCCTAATTAGGTGATCATTCTAAAATTATTATGATACAAATATCTACATGATATTTTTTTAAATGAGCTCTTTTATTTTCTTAAATAGTATGCAGACACTTGGGGGAGTCAATACTACTAGGATTTTTATATGAATATGTCAAGATTTACAGTTTTCTGCTTATATCATACAAAGGAAGAGGAAACAGACAACAAATTACATTAATTTGTTACATTCAGTTCTCCAAATCTGTTCTATAATTATCCAAATAATTATCTAAATCAGCTTCCCCCCAAATCATCAGAAAAACCTGTTGGATCAGTACAGCTCCATTTATCAGGCTTGCTTGAGGAAGGAAGCAAATGACAACACCTTTATAGAGCCTCAGACATCTCAGAAAGGAAGCACCAGGAGAAGATACTTGGAAGGCTTCAGCCCAAACAGGTGATTTCGAGGTGAGTTTTGCAAAGCAGATCATTGGTTGGGATTGGGCAGAGTTTAATAGCTTTGTATTTTAGGCACAGAAAAGCATGTGTTGTGGAATAAAGCTGTTTGTCTTGATAAGAAGTTACTCTAGTTGGCTTAAAGTCTTATCATTCTAAAATCCATATTTTATAAAGTATCTAAGTTGAGGGCAGGTATTTAGTCTGCTGTTTAAGACACCAGTTAAAATGCCTGCATCCACTATTGGAGTGCCTGGATCCACTTCCTGGCTCTAGCTTCCTGCTAATGCACCCGGGGGTGCAGCATGGTGGCCTCAGGAGGTTGGGTTCCTGCCATCCATATGAAGTGATTCATATGAGAGTCCATGACTGAATTCTCAGCTCTTGGCCTGTCATTGTGAAGAATTGAGAAGTAAATCAATGGACGAGAGCTTACCATCTCTCTTGGAAATACATATGTATTTTATCTATGTTGTGCTTAGTGCTACTATTTTTAGCACAAAGCCGCAAAAGTACGCTCTGTCCTAGAAATGTCTAGCTTAGGACTGGGAAAGTGTGTTGGTTCTCAGAATTACGTATTACATTAACAAAAGAAAGCTCCAATTTTCAATTCTGTCTTTAAAACTCTTATTCCTTAGTAAATTTTCCCATTAAACAAATAAAAAACAGCAACAACAACAACTTGATGCCCTGCTAACAAAGCATTTCAATCAATGCTGCGTAAGGCAAAGTCAGTACCTGAGCTATAATTCCTAATTTCTAGTGCAGTGCTCTTCCTGTTACCTTTACATGGAAGAAAATATGTTTTACTCTATTTTTAATTAAAAGTCTAATCTAATTGTAACTAAAATATGGTAGCATTAATAAAGCTTAGACTAGAAAATAAACATCCACTTGATCATCCAGTGAATGAAACTATAATTTCTCATCCTGTTTTTTTTTGTTAGGGAAAATGCAAGTAATAATTGTAGTGGATTTCAGAAAATTCAGCAAAATTCTCAAAATCTTAAAAGAAGTAAATCTATTATGTATATGAACCTATACATGCAAATGTATAGTTGGTTTAAGATGTTTTCGTTTAGAGTGAAATTCTTGGTGTGTACTATAATCTGGAAAGTGGAGCTAAATCCAAGGTCACCATTCATTTGTAAAGGGCAAACATGGGCATTAGATAGAAGTATCTACTCTGGGTAGACCTGCCCATCAAGGCTCCCATTAAAAAAAATTTTTTTTTTAAAGATTTATTTTATCCACTTGAAAGACAGAGTTACAGAGAGAGGTAGAGACAGAGAGAGGTCTCCATCTGCTGGTTCACTCCCCAGATGGCCGCAATGGCCAGAGCTGTGCCGATCTGAAGCCAGGAGCCAGGAGCTCCTTCCAGGTCTCCTATGTGGGTGCAGGGGCCCAAGGCCTTGGGCTGTCTTCTACTGCTTTCCCAGGCCTTAGCAGAGATCTGGATTGGAAGAGGAGCATCCGGGGCTAGAACCAGCACCCATATGGGATGCTGGTGCTTCAGGCCTGGGCTTTAACTCACTGTGCCACAGTGCCAGCCCTCCATTATAAGGTTTAAAGCATGGGCTCCCACTATCCCTTGGACAGGAACTCTTGTATAACACAGAGTCTGCATGGTAACTTTGTGTGTGGTTGCTCTACCTGAGTCAAGGATTCTCAGCCATCCAAAGTCCACTTGGTGAAAAGTGGTTTTGCCTAAGGAAAACAAATAGATGGAATTATATTGTTCTGGAGTGCTGTGATATTATGGGGGATTTGAATATGTTTTAATTTCTTTTCATATGTGTGGTAAACATCTTTGTGAAAGGGTTATACAATCTCTTATTTTATGTATTTAAATAGGCTTGCTGGTATACTGTAAAATATACTATTCTGGATTATAGAGACTATGAGCCACACTTCTGATACTCAGTTACTGGTCCCATGCAAGCTCTATTACAAACCCATTTGAAAAGTGAACATTCAGAAGAAAAGTAATTGGAAGAGAAAAGTTAATATGTATTTGTCAGAATCCTTGGAGTCTAAAATCACAGAAAAAAATCTGACACACCTGGCTAGTCATTTGCCTTTTATGAGGCAATCAAAATTCAAGATTCTATATACATATCATTTGGATTTCCTTAATTTCTCTTTATTACAAGTGGAAATGAATTATAAGAGAATTCATCTTTAATGTTCCAGTATTGCTTATCCTTTTATAGGTAATATCCCAAGATGTTATCATCATCCATCCATTCAGTATCAAAAATATTTAAATGGCATTCAGTCCAGCAACTAAAATAAAACTTATCCCACATGTAAAATTTTAATGTCCTGGAAAGCAAAGAATTAAAATATCTTGGTTTCCAGAAGAGTAAAACAGCAACTCTATTTAGGACTGATTTTATGGCTACAGAAAATACGGATAGCATTTGTAGAGAAATGCCCAATATTCTATAACAAAATTTTCTGACATATCATTTATTCAGTTTCCTTGTTTATTTACAACAATAAGATTGCCCATCAACCAGTGACAAAACATTATCACTAACTCAATTTACCTGTGAAATGAATCCCATCTCAGATTGTGAGAATGACCTAAATGAATTGATGCTTGACTCTTTTGACTGTGAGGAATGGAATGCTAAGTAATATTTCAGCAGGCGGTCCTTTCCCACAAATATGCGGCTTACCATTTCAATGCTTATTTGATTTTTGAGAATAAAACCAAGAAAATCTGGAATTCACTTAAAGACATTTAACAGAGAAGCTCAAATTGATTGTTAAAGTAACAGAATTTCCCAAAGCTTTTTAATTTAAAACTCTTTATTTCAATTGACAAATACTTACATTCTTGTGGACATTCTTGTGGAAAGAAACTGAGGAAGATTAACATAGAGATGCTGGGTAGAAAAATGCATCATTCTATGGACAAAATGCCTATGTTTTTAGTATGTTGAAATAGCACATACAAATTAGCTGATGAATGAGACAGATGGAGATACAAAAGTTCATCTTACCTATCCTGTTAATAATAAAAATAATCCCTGAAAAAATATTCAAGTGAGTTACCAGAAGACTCTGAAAGGAGAAAAGAAAATAGATTGGCTGTTGACCTCAGGGCTTGTGTGGCAACCCAGGGATGACTTCTCCAGCATTCTCACTTGCTTCCCATATATCTCAGCCAGGAGCCAAAGAACAACACATGTGGAAAACAGGTAACTAGGATATATAAAATGGACACACACAGACACATACACACCACCACCGCCACCAGGAGCTAGAGAAGAACACACACGAAAAGTTGACAACTAGCACATATCGAACACACCACACACCCCCACATACACACACCGTCAGGAACTGGAAGAAAACACAACACAGACCTTCAAACAATTCAGAGAAAATGCATGTTATGAAAAAAACTATGCATGGATTTCAGAAAACATTGTGCCAACATAAGCTGATTTTTAATACATTTTTCTGTGATCTTTTTGAAGTTCCCTCATGTGTATTGCTTCAACAACAGATCTCACTTTTCACATAAATGACCAGGAAAAGAATAACTCAGTAGCCACTTCCTCCTATTTCTGTTCTTGAGCCAAACACCATAAAAACGCCTGTCTCTCCCCATCTCAAGAGGCACTGAATTGACAGAACTGATTTTCACTTCCTTCCCCTGCTACTCAACTTACCCTACTGCAGCCTTCCCCTTAGAGCCTGGGGGTGAGCTTCCAACTTCCAGTCCCTGAACTATCAAGGTGAATGCCTATTGTTGACAGAATCTGTACAAGTTAACCACCAACTTCACTTCCTTTTTTTTTTTTTTTTTTGCTTTTTGCAGATTTTATTTAAGGCATACAAATTTCATGCATTTCTTAAATACAGACTCAGGAACATAGTTATATTTCTCACCTTACCTCCCTCCTGCCCAAACTCCCACCCTTCTTCCTCCTTTCTCCAATTCCCACTCTTAATTTTTACAAATATCTATTTTCAGTTTATATTCGTAAAATTAACTCTACACTAAATAAAGAGTTCAACAAATTGTATGAGGAGAAAAACATTGTTCCTCAACAGTAGAAACAAGGGCTGCAAACAATCACAGAATCTCAAAATGTCAATTTTACTCTCATGCATTATGTTTTAGGTATTCTATTAGTTACCACAGTTCTGGGAAAACATGTGATATCTGTCTTTTGGTGACTCACTTATTTCACTAAATATGATCATTTCCAGTTGCATCCATTTTGTTGCAAAAGACAAGATTTCATTTTTATTTTTACTGCTGAGTAGTATTCCTTAGGGTATATATGCCCTAATTTCTTTATACAGCCATCAGCTGATGGACATCTGGGTTGATTCCATAACTTAGCTATTGTGAATTGAGCTGCAATGAACATGGGGGTTCAAATAACACTTTCATTAGCTGATTTCATTTCCTTTGAGTAATTCTCAGGAGTGGTATGGCTGGGTCATATGGTAGAACATTTTCAGATGTCTGAGGCAGCTCCATACTGTCTTCCACAATGGCTGCACCAGTTTACATTCCCACCAACAGTGCATTGAGGTACTTTTTTTCTCCACATCCTCACTAACATTTAATTTTGTTGATTTCTGTATGAGAGTCATTCTAACCGGGGTGGGGAAAAATCTCATTGTGGTTTTATTTGCCTTTCCTTGATGGCTAGTGATCCTGAGAATTTTTTCATGTGTCTATTGGCTATTTGAATTTCCTCTTTTGGAAAATGCCTGTGCAAGTCCTTTGCCCATTCCTTAGCTGGATTGTTTGTTTTGTTTTTGTTGGCTTTACAGTAGCTTAGAGTGACAAGATCTCTAATTTACTGCTGGTGGAGGGTAAATAAATGTAACCAGTTTGGAATTTATTGTAATACTATCTGATAGTGACAGCATGTACAAAAACATGACATGTAGCATCTACATGGATTCCACCACATGTGTCCATACAAATGTATTGTTCATTGAAGGATTGTATTTAAAAGTGATGAATTTAAAACATT